AGATTAAATTATATGTCAGCGCCCGGCGCAATAACCATGGCGCGTCGTTAAGGCCATATACCGGGGCCACGAGCTCGACGAGGGCCCCGGGCTCGAGGTGCAATCCTCGGCATGGCTCGCAGTTGATCGCGCCCTGAGGGCGGCGCAGTCTATACGACTGGCAGAATGCGTTCTTCGCGTCAGCCACCTCAAGTGTCCTGCCGACGGCCGCTATAGCCTCGAGGGTGCGCATCAGACTCTCGGCCCGGGGGGCGGGGGCGTAAACCTGGAGGCCCCCCCCGTCCGGATCCCGGTGCCTCTGGACGCGCCAGCGCGATTTAGCCTCTGGGGCCTGTCCGACGCCTTCCTGAGGCTTGAACCGACGAACCATGCGAGACCCCAAAATTCGGTCAGGACACCTGCGCCCGATAACCCGGGCCTCGGCCACTGGAGCCACCCTGGCGGCCCCGGAGTTCACAATAGCTTGCCACTCCATCGCATCAGAAAGCTTACCAAGGTCGCGCTCAGCAGAGGCCAGCCCCTTGAGAGAGACTTCGGCGCCTCTCCTGGCAGGAGGGGCACCCGGCTGATTTCCAGAGGGAGGAGAGAGAGAGAGAGAGAGAGAGAGAGAGGAGAGAGAGAGAGAGAGAGAGGAGAGAGAGAGAGAGAGAGAGAGAGAGAGAGAGAAGAGAGAGAGAGAGAGAGAAGAGATAGAGAAAAAAAAAAAAAAAAAAAAAAAAAAAAAAAAAAAAAAAAAAAAAAAAAAAAAAAAAAAAAAAAAAAAAAAAAAAAAAAAAAAAAAAAAAAAAAGAAAGAGAGAGAGAGAGAGAGAGAGAGAGAGAGAGATAGAGAGAGAGAGCGAGAGAGAGAGAGAGATAGGAGAGAGAGAGAGAGGAGAGAGAGAGAGAGGGAGAGAGGAGGAGAGAGAGAGAGAGAGAGAGAGAGAGAGAGAGAGAGAGAAGAGAGAGAGAGAGAGAGAGAGAGAGAGAGAGAGAGAGAGAGAGAGAGAGAGTGAGAGAGAGAGGAGAGAGAGAGAGAGAGAGAGAGAGAGAGAGAGAGAGAGAGAGAAGAGAGAGAGAGAGAGAGAGAGAAGAGAGAGAGAGAGAGAGAGAGAGAGAGAGAGAGAGAGAGAGAGAGAGAGAGAGAGAGAGAGAAGAGAGAAAAAAAGAGAGAGAGAAGAGAGAGAGAGAGAGAGAGAGAGAGAGAGGAGAGAGAGAGAGAGAGAGAGAGAGAGAGAGGGGGGAAACGAGGTTCCCAAAACGAAAATTCCCACCCGTACCAGCTTCAAAGTTCTTGCCACAACATGTCATCCTATGGGTCATCGTCGGGAACATCGGCGTGCCACGTGCCGTCGTTGAAACATGAATTGTCGGGCCCCCGGACCTGGGGTCGAACCGGCGATCGCGATCGGGGCCTCCGCGGGGCCGACTGACCTCGGGAGGGGGAAGGAGGGGAGACGGCCGCGGCCGATGCACGCTGCGCGCGGCGGTGCTGCAGGATGCACAACAGAACGTCGTGCCTCAAAATACCCATTAAAGAATGGGCCTCGAACTCTTGGGCCACGGGCCGGACCCTGCCCGGGCACGCGGGTTGGTCCTCCACGGGCGTGAGACGAGGCCTCTGTTGCGGCGGGGAAGTTGGGTCGGACTTATCCGCGGGAGGAGGGGCGACCGGACGAGTCAAAAGAGTCCGAGAGAAAGGGGGGGGAAGACGGAGAAGAGGGAGCAGGAGGAAGAGGAGGAGAAGGGAGAGGAGAGGGCGAGAGAGGAGCCGCGGGGGGGGCAGACGAGGGGGCGGGGGATACCGGAGGAGAGAGAGAGAGAGAGAGAGAGAGAGAGAGAGAGAGACTGGGAGGGCCCGCCCTTAGTCTGACGCTCGAGGACGTCGACCGGCGGCTGGACCTGCTGCAAAGGCTCAACATGCTCAGCCCCGGGAGAAGATTCCTGGGTCGCCTGTGCGACCGCCAAGGGCTTGCCTGGGAGCTCGGGGTCGAAAACCCCCCGGTCGGGAACGGCCGCGCCCCACGCCTGAGGAGGTGGAGGCCCCTCGGCCTCGACGCCCACCGCGCCGACGCGACCCTTCAGATTCCTGAGTTCCTCGCGGAGCTCGGCCAGAGCTCCCGAGTCCAAAATCTCGGCCCCTAGGGCTTCGTCCCTGGCCGCTTCCCTCACTTGCTCGGTGGAGCACTTGAGCAACCTGGCCCCCATGGCCACCCAGATTGTCGTGGCGCGCTGATACGCAGCAGCCCCTGGAACCGCCCCACGGGCCCGGCCACCCTTGTCTCTACTTCCTCCGCCAAACTCCCGCCAGACGCAGACCCAAGTCCCCGGGGCAAAATTTACATCCGCATGCTTCCGCGCTTTAGCCGCATACTTCAGCCTCTCGACGACACCCAGACTCACCATGGCTTTGCGGGCCTCCTCCTCGAACGAATGCTTGCGGGCAAAAGCTGAGGCCGGACAATCCGAATCCTGGGTCCCACGAACTAAATTAAATCCTGGAGCCCGACCTCGTCGACCGCATCGTCGATCGCCCGAAAGAAGAGCCTGGGGGAGTCTTGGACTTTCTCCGAAAAACAGCTGAACCGGAGAGAACCCCCCCTGTTACTAAACCTGTTTTTGGCCGCGATAAACTCGCAAGGAAGGCGGTCTTCCAGTTCATCCAAGGAGCGAAGGAAAACAGCTGAAGAGGCTTCGGAGAGGGCCGTCTTAACCAGGCCCCCGTGTCTCTCGCAACGCCCGTTCTGATGCGGACTCTCGGCGTCGCAAAGATGGCGAGATACTCCGAGGCCCCCCAGACCCCCGAGGAAACCAGCTTCAAACTCGGCGCCGCCGTCCGACATCACAATCTCGGGGATGCCCAGCGGGCGAACCCACGAGCGAAAGCAATCCACACCTGCTCAGCCGTAGTATTTTGGAAAACCGTACGAATATGAGAGTTGGCGCCGTGATCTATGATACTGGGCATGGGAACAAGATTCTCGAACGTGCGCACATGGAACACATCGACCGCAACCAGCTTGTTCAATCGAAACGCCCTGGGAAGTTGCGCGCTCCTTCTCCAGTGAGGCCCGGCCTCGGACTCGCACTGGGGACAAACAAAATGCTTCGAAACCCAGCGGGCGATGTCGTCCTTGACTCTAGCAACCTTGAGCGCCCGCACGAATTCTCCCAGACGAGGGTGTCCTAAATTGGCGTGAAACTTGCGCGCCCCACCGTGGATTTGCTGACCGAGGTCCTTGTCCGGCTGCATCGGCCTCGGAATCTCGCGAGAGCGCGCATCCGTAGGCCCATGGTCCCGCGAGCTAGTCTCAGGAGGAGGAAGACGGAGAATGAAGGCGGGGGCTCCCGGACTCATCGTCCGCGCCCAAGTCAACCTGATCGGGCCCCTGCATCTCGGCAGGAAAGACATTGGCGGGCGCGGCGCTCTGGTCAGCAGGCGCTCGGCAGTCTTCTCGGGGCCCGAGCAGATCGCCATCGCCAGCTCAGGAGGGCAACATTGAGCAGCTCTTGTCCTGGCCCCTCCCTCCAGTGAGAAATGCCGATGTTCCCTGGAGCGTTGACGATTACAGGCGGTCAGAAGCTCCGGACTATCAGACAGAAACTTGGTAGGCTTCTTAGACACCGTGCCGGGGTAAACGCTGCAGCCAAAAGCGCACTGGTCGGACCTGACGGCCTGGACCCCTGGGAGCGACTCAAGATGCTCCATAGTCTCGAGCTCCCAACTGCTTGCGGCGCTAGGATGCTCGAACCAGAGTATCCTACCTTCCTCGTGCTGGTACTCGGCGACCTGCGCACAGATAGCAAGATATAACAACGCTTCCTGTTCGGCCCTGACCTGATCGGCAACCGAAGCACTACCCTCTGCGGTCCTGGGCTGGCTGAACATCCTACAGGGCGGAGACATCAGAATGACGAGTGGCCCGTCACCCTCAATCACCTGCCACATTCTCTTACGCTCCGAAGCCCGACGAAGGCCCCAACCAGGTGGCCCGGTCGATCGAGAGCGAGGTCCGACAACCCCGCCGGCTGAGCTAAGCCTCGACCCAAGGCGGCGAGAAAAAATCCAGGTACAGGGGGGGCGACGAGGACCCAACGAGACGCTTAAGATTCCCACGAGCCCTTCCCTTGGAGGCTCGGATGCCGGGGCCCTCAAGGACCCTCAGAGCCTCTTGTCTGACCTTGCGCGGGGCCGCAGCAAAAGAACTCGCGTCCCGGGGGTTCTGCTTGCTCTCCAAGAAAAACCAAGAACTCGAAGTAGTTGGGCCGCTAGCTAGGGCCCCGGCTCCATGCACTCGCTGTTGGGCCTGCTCGAGAGCCTGCTCGGCATTCGCGGGCGACTGAGGATCAGGGACGTCAGAGGAGGCGGCCCCTTCCCCAACCTTACTCCTCAAGGAGGAAGAAGGAATGCCGTCTAGTGCTTTGGCTACGGAGGGACAGAGAGAGAGAGAGAGAAGAAACGAGAGAGTCGAGAACGGCAGCGAGGCTCCTTCTCGGATGACCTGGATCCGGCGAGCCCGGGGAGGCGGATTTGGGGGAGCAGAGCCTCCGGAGGCTCGAAGGGCCACATAGACGGCCAAGGCCGCCTTCTCAGAGACAGTGAGATCCCGGAAAAAACCAGCCCATCTCAGAGCAGACCGCCTCAAGCGGAATCCGAGACCCCGAACCCAGGTCCCAGACTTCTCCGGGGCACCGAGGGATCTTGCTTTCCGATCTGCCCGGTCAGACCCGGGCAAATGGTTATGAATCCCTGGGCGACCCAACTGCTGGAAGGACCCGGATCCCCGAGCTTCCGAAGCAAACGGTGATACCTGGAAGAGTGGAGGTAGAGGTAAGATGACGATGAGGATGACAGTGACTCCCCTCTCTCTTCGTTAGCTCTAGCGTGGGCTGCGATCGATGGTGGGGAAGCCTTGCTCGTGCCCGAAGACTGGTTCGGACTTTGGGCGCTCGAAACGTCTCCCGGGTGTTCGTTCAGAGCGACCCGTCTGAACCGCGCGCCATCGCGCCGAGCGCCCTCACTGCCTCGATGAGCGCAGCCATCTGGCGGGCTCTCTCCTGGCGGTCCTGCTGCATCACTGTCTCCATCTCGTCGATCGCTTCCGCGTTGGCACTCATCGCCGTGGGCAGCTTCGGCGAAAAGGGCTTCACCGCCGTCGCTGGGACTGCCACCGCTGCCGACCTCATGGCCGCGACCTTCAAGCGAACCCTGACGGGGCGCCTTCCACGGCGGGAGTGCTGGTGAGTCCCCGCTGAACTTGAGCGAAGGAGGTTCGCGCGGAGCCCTCGGGTCGCTCTCCTCGAACTTGATCTTGCTGTCGGGGCCGGCCAGGATTGGACGTGCCATGTGCTGCGGAATGCGATCCTGCGCCTCCAGCCACTGCTTGCGTGACTTCTCCAGGGCGCGCCCCTTCTTCGCGATGACCTTCACGCGGGTCTCCTCGATCTCCTCCTTGGTCTCCTGCTCGAAGCGCAGGGTCGCCATGCGCGCGCGGCACTTGGCGCAGTAGCCGCATTGGCTGCCCCAGTGCCAGCGAGCCGAGAGAGCAAGCGAACACTCCGCTGGCCGGTCGTTCTTGGGCAGCTTGTTCGAGCGAGGAACTATCTCCGCGAGGAGGCGAGTATCCGAGCAGACCCTGAGACACATGAGGAGACTGATCGCCGTCCTTCGCCAGACGCGCACCGGCGAGGCAACTCTCCACGTCGTAGTTGATCGCCCTCAGCTGACCGTCGACCCACGGGTCGGGCGGCATGTCCCAGTTCTGCTCGAGGTCGGAGGTGTCCGCTTCCTCCTCCGGGATCACGTCGAGCTCGAACACCTTGTCGACCTCGGTGCTCGCCTGTCGCGGCGCGGCCCGGCGAAGACCTCGTAGTGTGCGAATCGCCCTGGTCTTCATCTCCTTCGAGAACTTGGGGGCGGTCCTGGGCGCGGCCGATCTGCCGCTCGTCCGAGGAGCGGCCAGCTGCTAGCTGCAGAGCCCGAGCCGAGAGGTTCCACGGATGGGTGGCTGAGCTCGGCCCCCGTCAGCCCACGGGGCCCTCGCCGCGATGAAAGGCGAGACGAGGGGGGAGAGGAAATCTGTTCTAACTGGCTGCTGGCGCTCATTAGCCCTGAACCCTCTCCCACCGGCTCCTGAGCAGGATCGAAGACCTCGAAGTCCGCGCGCCCGATCCAGGGGCCCGAGAACTTCACCTGGGAGCGCTCCTGGGGGCCCCGCCAGTCGAGGTCGAAAGTCATTCCGCCGGGGTCCTCGCCGCCAAAGCAAAGGCAAGTGGCCTTCATCCTGCAGAGCCTGCTCTGATGAACGGGACTCTCGAGGATCTCTCCGAACTCCTGAAGGCCGACCCTAGAGCCCCCGAGGACACCGAGGCAAAATCGCCCGAGGTCGGAATCGTGAACGGCGGAAACTTCTTCGCAATATCCTCGCGCAGGCAGAAATCCTCGGGGTCGCATCCCACGAGCGAGACGGCACGGTGACCCGATGGAAACCTGCTCAAGGGAACTGCCTCCCCCGAAGCTCCCTCGCCGACTCTCATCTGATTAGCTCCACAGTCGACGACGGCGCGCAGGAAATCGAGAAACTTGGCCGGCAAGAAAGGAGGACAGGCGCGAGGAAGGATGAGAAACTCGACCAGTCCGCACTCGTTGAAAGACACCGGAACGACAGCCTTGCCGATCGGATCCACCTCGCCCCCCACTCCGTTGGCGGTGGGGGGAGAACCGTCCTTCAGCACGCGGACTCGATATCCTCTCTTCTCGAAAGCCTGGATCAGGTTGTCTAAGTCGGGTGCCCCGATCAGAGCCTGTCCGGCCGCGGTGTTCACTTCAGAGCCATGCTCTGAAGTGTAGCCGCCGTGAAGAACTGTGTAGCTTGTCTGCAGGAACGGACAGCAGGGCCTCGTCGAACGCATCGCATGAGCGGGAGATCGAGCCCACTCGGCCGTCAAAGTCACCGACTAAGAGGTCCACCTGACCGCCTTGATCGCAGGAGGTGACTGCCCATGAGCCTCCTGAGCGACCTTCCGCATTGACATCGAATTAGAAGGACGATTGCCGAGGGCCCCTCTGGCCACTCTGCCGCGGACCACCCCGCCCGGCGGCCTCAGCCTTCAACCAGTCTGCCTTGCTGCGAAAAGGCTTGCGGCAGTCTTCACGCCAGCGCCTCTTGTCGCCGCAGTTGGAGCTTCGGGGGCGCTTCTTGAAGCCATCTCTCGCCACCTTGCGTGTCTACTTGCGGTCGAAGAAGTCTCGGTCCACCTTCTTCGCTACCTTGAGCTGCTTGAATTCGGCCCAGGTCCTGAGGCGGTTCTGCAGGGCGGTGAGCTCGGCAAAGACGTCTACGATAGCGTCCTCCGCCAAGTCCTGCTCCTCGAGCGAGGCTAGGAGAGTGGTGAGCCCTGGGTCGAAATTCATTTCGGAAAAAACCGAAACAGCCTCCGTCCTCGCAGGTGTCGCACTAGTCTCTCGAAGCCTGATCCTGCGTAGCTGCGAATGTTCTGGAGGGACCTGAGCTGGACGAGCTGGGCAACGTCTGCTTCTCTGATGTCTAGCTCGAAAAATGCCTGTCCGATAGACTGCAGGTCTTTCTTCCCGGCCAGGATGGTGCGCAAATTGACGTGCATGCTCGAGAATAACACAGCCCCTTCTTCAGAATAGCATGCCTTGACGTTGTCAGGCAGCACAAGGCCGTGGCGCTCGGCTGCATCGATCTGATTCTCTCGGCGAGTAACGTAGTCCGTAAGAGTCTCGCCCTTGCGGATGGCGTGGTCGGACAGCGCCTCTGAGTGTGCCTTGCGCTCGATATCTCCTGGTCTTTCTCCGGCCAATAGGCGAAGATGCTCGACTAGAAGATCCAGACCGTCATCTCCATCGAGGGACTGCCTAACCGATTTGAACTTTGTCTGCAGCTCGACTGGGTATGTCTATAACACTCGGCCTGCGCGTGTGGCAGACTTGTATCCCGTCCGAGCGGCCCACGACTTCAGACTCGACGCGTACAACTCGAGATGCTCCAAACCATGCCACGCGGGCGGGGCGGAGAAGTCCCGGTTGATGTCGTCGGTTGAACTTCTTCCCATCTGACTGACTCCAATCGCCGCCCCACGGCGACCACCACCAGACTGAACCCCAGGAAGTTTTCCGTATCCACCATGAGTCGTGTCCGCCATCTGCTGGTGCGTCGGTGGACTGGCGTCCACTGTGGTGTCTGGGCGGGGAGGGGAACTCCCGTCCCTGTCCTTCTTCGTCGGTCTGTGCACCTGTATGACGACAACGCCGACCTGCACCTCTGTCCCCAGATGCTGAGCCTGATTGGGCCTCCCCGGCCTCCGCCTCCGTGTCGTGGGCAACGCTCCGCTTACCGTTGTCAGCAGGCATGGCGGCGTCGCGTCAGCGTGGAAAGAGAAAGACACCCTTTTCAGTCTCAGCCCGAAGAGTCTGGCACTGCCAACGTCATACTGCACGAGTGTGCACACTAAGCCAACATGGCTTCTACGGGACCTGTCTGACACATAGAGGAGAGGGGAGGAGAGGTTAAACAACACACATCGGCATCATCATCGTCCTCCTCCTCCTACTCCTCCTCCTCATTATCATCAACAGCACCGTAATCACCCTCATTGGCATCACATGTTCATCAAAATCGTCATCATCAGTAACATCACCATCATCATCATCATCATCATCATCATCATCATCATCATCATCATCATCATCATCATCATCATCATCATCATCATCGGCATCATCATCATCATCATCATCATCATCATCATCATCATCATCATCATCATCATCATCATCATCATCATCATCATCATCATCATCA